CACGCGTTACGAGCTTTTCTTTAATGCGCTCATGAATGATTCAGTTTGTTTTCCTTTTTGTCGGCTCGCGTACTGTGTTTGTTGTGATGTTACTATCGTTTTCTTACTGGCAACCATTTACCCTATTCTGCTACTCGTGGTTGAGGTAACTCAGTAACTTTTATTGTGTCTAATGAACGAAGGTTTCTTTCGTTTTGCCTGAGTGAAAAAATCACACGTTTGTTTTATGTCTCCATGTGTTTGTTTTCTTTTTATGCTATTTAATTTAATATGTTACATGAAAAATTAAGAATAGTTGTTTTGTAAACATACCTATTAAGGATGGTAGATGATGCTGTAAATTGAGGTGTGTGTTGCTGCATGTGGATGGACGACCTCAAATAACGAATGATGTAGATGGAAATTCTTGGAAATGACGATTAGCATGTTACCGATCAATTACTACGCCAAACACCGTCATAAATAAACATATTTTCCTCAAACTCTTCCAGGAACGTCTGGCTTCGAATCCATGTAAACAAAACAAGATGCGTAAAAACACGACTGATAATACAAGATATATTTAAGATTTCAAATTATCTTTCTGCGGAAATAATTCCCATTTTTAGAACAATCTTTAATTTTGTAATAACTTTCATTTTTATTAACTTTACTTTAAGGATTGCTGCATGTGGGTGCAGATGATTATGGAAAGTGATACACCTAAGTGGGTCTCATAGTCCGTCGCCGTCCCTCCCCCGCCCAGAAGCCGACGATGTATTAAAAATAAAGTCTTAACTAGTTTTCTAGTAGACCCCATTCAGTATCTCAATTAAACACGTTATTAATTATTATTAATAAATAAATATAAGTATTTAAATTTAATGCAAATGGAAACATACTTTCCCAGTAAACATAAAGTCAACTACACTGCAACTACACGCCTCATTTTATGAGTGATCATTCGTTATATTGTTTGACATTTTGACAAATTTAATGTTTTTTCAATCTCCTCTTCTCATGTTTAATATGTATAAAAATTAGGAGTTTGTCAGAGCTCTCAAATATAAATAACGCACTGTGCCACCGGACACTTAAACATTTTAGTCATTTTTAGGTTCTTATTTTTTTCGTAGAAACAAAAACTGTATTATATTTAGTAGAGTAAAAAATTGTAAGAGCTCATCTTATTTACACCTACAATATACACTGTTTTCACGTATAAATATTAAAGTATATTAAAGTTTATTACTGTAGGACATACTAAGTACTCGGTAGTTTGCTAATGACGATAAATGATGGCACGTGTTGATCGAATGTTTGAAGATATGTGTACTAGAATTATCTGACTGAAGTCGCCTTGGCATAAAATATGTCTACCAAAATGCGACCGGAACTAATAGAATTACAACCATCCATTAGCCAAGCAGAACACGTTCTACTAATACATTTTGTCATCGTTAGAGCTATAGTAATTAAAAATAATTGATTTAAAAGTACCATTTTCATTCACGTAGTTTCTTTTCAAAGATTTTAGTGATTTCTGTTGTTATTACATAAAAATTGTTAAAATCAGTTTAAATTCGGCTAATTTATTAACAACTAATTTTGAGCGACTACCAAAATAGATGTTCGTATTACATCTGCCGAACAACTGCATGATGAAAATTGAAGCGCGCCCTTTCCTCGTTCTAAATACGAAATTAAGAAACGTGTGTGTTCGTGACATCGTCCGCAGATGCGTGCTCGGTGAGGCGATCGCGATATCGTCGACGGCGGCGACGGCGGCGACGGCGGCGGCTCGAAGCGGCCGACGGGCTGCCCCGGCTCCCACCCGCCGGCGACCCTCCGGCGCAGCGCCGCGTCGCCACGGAACATCCATTATAATCTCGAGCTGCCGGCGGCGCCAGCGGCTTGAAATAGCTCCCGCTGGTCAACAACGAAACACACACCGTCGATCCAACGCGGCCTGCACGACCGGCGCGAGACGGGAGCCATATTTCACGGCAAATAGCTGTTCGGCATACCTGAAAATAGGATGCCCGGCACTCCGCGCCGAAGGAAAACTTGATATGCGTTGACGTGGAATGACGAGGTCGTCGCTATTTCCCTATGCGTGACAGAAATCATTCGCCGAAAATCAGAGAAAGTCGATCGTACACTGATTGCTAACCCAAGAAAACTTCGTAAAAACACGTTTTTTGTACGTCGAATTCTGAAATGTTAAAGGAAATCCCTTCAGTTGAATTGTTGAAGTATCGTAAAAGAAATTATAGATATGCTAATTATAGCGGGCGGAATGTGTTCATAAAAAAATTTCTGATGCTTGGAAATCACAGAAGAAAACTTCGACAAAATAATTTGTTGTACTAACAAATTATTATGTTATTAAATTATTATTATTATGGATTTTAAAATGCTGTAAATTTATTTCTAAATCTGGAAAGATTAGAACTTGTATAATTGCTATTCTTCATATCTTAAGTGTACTACAAAATTTCAGATCATTGAAATATATCGTTTTGTAGGGAAACGTCTTCCGTTGCTTTCATTATCTTGCAAAATGAAACTTCTTGTGCAAATTTAATGTGATATGAATTATGAATGAAGACATTCATATAAAGTTGACAGTCACAGCGCATTGAAAGTTCTTGTGCAAGTTGAAACAAACTGAAAACTGCGAAAGGTATTTGGATACATAATAATTCGAAAATCAATATTGCTAAATGTATAATGGACATATGCAAAGTCATGTGCAAGCTAGACCTTTCCAAAAAAAGAAAAGATTATAAATAAATAAAGAGTCATAAACTACTGTTACTGTATTTCAGTGGAACTTCTGTACGAAGTGGATGTATGAATACGATATACTCGTATAGATGAGCTATAATGTAGGCCCCTCTCATGAGTTCTAACTCCGTGACAGCGAACATATATGCCTTCAAATGCACAGAAGCGTAAGTTGGATGATCCCTAGGTGTTCAGAATAAATAAGAGGTCAGGCGACGGGTGAAAAAATGTCGGAAATACCTATAAAATGACGAATTGCGTCTAAATTTATTGTTCCTAGTTAATTGGAACTAATACATCTTGAAACTTTGAAATCAGAGTAATCTTTGTCTTCACAAAGAAAACATGCTGAGAAAACGATTGTTTGGTTTGAGCAAGTGCTTTGTGTATGTAGCACGTAATTAGGACACTTTCATTCTTCTACTCTTCTCTAGAAAAGTTTCGTTCTTTATATTTAAATAATGATAGTGTCTCAACCATTTGTGTTTATCATTCCTTGATTAGACAGTACCGTAAACAAACGCGCAAGTTACGTAGTGGTTGCGTACTTTGTTTCTTAAATTACTCTTACCGAGGAAGCATTTCCTGTAGATTTAATGCTACGTTTTTCATGTAAATGTATGTTAACCTGTAATACAGTGTAAACATTAGCTGTCCGTTCTGAATTTCACTACTTCTACAGTTGCATTTCGAAATAATGACATCAATTCAATATTGATTATCTGAAAAAATGCAAAATATAATCAATATTTTTACGGTATACTACATCAGTCCTTTCAGTAACGAATTTGTAGAATCATCTTAAATATAGTAATAAATGGTTTTTACTGGATAACAGACGCATCTGATCGTAATAAATGTTGTAATGATCACGACAAAAAAGATGTTTCGCCATCACATCCAGTTTTATCTGTCAGTTTTCGTCTGTCATAATTTTTATCAAAATAATATCCCTCTCGAATAATATCATATTTAATAAATCAAACTTAAAGTGAAAGCTCTTATTGCATGCAAATTTGCACTCAGGTTAAAGCAAGAGAAGGAAATGAATATAAGTATTTTTCAGAAATCGGGAAGACAACCGGAGAACATTTACCCAAAACTAGAAATAATGGGACTTAGGTGGTGTAAAACAATAATGAAGAAAACATCCAAAGCTCTTCCAACCTTTATTGTAAGACCTTTTAAGGTACATTTGTAGAAAGTCTTGTCTTAAGAATTTAATCTGAGAATTTGCCAAAAGACGCCAAACGTGTCAGCTAATGCTCGACGAATGGTCTCAATACAAAATCACGTAGTACATTAAAAGCAAGGCATGGGATAGGCGTATAGGTCCCAGCGAGAAACGACAGAAAGGGGGCGTGGCGACGGACGATCGGGGACGTGAAGCAGAGGGGCGCTCCCGGAGGCGCAGCGCACAGCAAGACGCGCGAAGCGCCTCGGCGCCCGCGCGCCGTGCGGCCGCCGTTTGTCAGGCTGTAATCACGCGGACCACGGGCGACGCGAGGGCGGGGCCGATCCGCGAGTCCGGCGCCCCGCGAGCCCAACAAGGTAAGGAATCCACCGACGCCGCCGCCGCTGCCGGGCCCCGCGCCCGCGCAACTTCCATCCACTGCTCAGGACGCGAGCACCCCGCGTACACCCGCGCCAGCTCCCGACCAGCCCGAAAAACAAAAAAAAGAAAAAAAAAACCCGCCGCGGCTCCTCTTGTGGGAACCGGATGCTCGCCCAGGGCGTTTTTATACGACGCCGCCGCCGCCGCTGCGGCGACCCGTCGCCCGCCTCGCTGCGTCCCGCCGCCGCCGCCACCGCCGCCGTCCTCGTCGCCGTCGTCATCGTTGTCGTGGCTGCCGCAGGTGCCGGCGCTGCGCGGCGCGGCGTCGCTGCGTCCTGCCCGCCCCGGGGCGTCGTCGCTCGCCTCGCGGCCGTACGGCGGAAAAGGCGCGCCGCCCTAGCAGCTATTTCGAGAGAACCGGTTAAACGCCGTCTTTAGATGGGCTATTCCTCACGTTGTCGCGAGCGATCGGCGGCTCTATTTATCGAGTCGATTCGTGACCGCCCGTCTGCCAGGGCGTCTGGCCGCGGGCGGCCCGTCTAGACGCCCCGCAGACGCTGCCTCCGCCAAGGTCGCGCCGCCGCCGCCGCCGAGGCCGCGTCACACCTGGCCGCCCCCGCCCGCTGCGCCGCGCTGCGCTGCTGCGCCCGCCCCGTCCCGCCCCGGTCCGCCCCGGCTGCGCGATGACGTAAGGCGTGAGCGCGGGGCAGGCTGAAGCTGAAGGCGCGCGCGTGCGCTGGCGTGCGCAGGCGGCAACTGCTGGTCGCTGCGCGTGCGCAGCAACGGCCGCTGCACCGAGCTGCTGGACGAGAAGGTGACGCGCGAGGAGTGCTGCCGGTCGGCGTCGGTGGCGACGGCGTGGAGCAGCGAGGACCTGGACTCGGGCGCGCTCTTCTTCTGGCGCGTGCTGGGCGGTGGCGTGCCCTGCCGCGCCTGCAAGGGTGAGTCAGCTCTCGGGCCTCCCCGCCGCCAGCTTCCACATGCTTTTTTTTTCTTTTCTCGTGCTTGTTTTTCTCCTTTTTCGCGTACTTCACTTTCGCTTTCATTCAATTCCCTATCGACTCCCAAGCGCTCTCCTCTTCATACATTTCCAGCCCATTCGTTTCTTTTCTGACCCATGATTCACATTCAGTTTTCTCCTTCCCTTTCATTTATGCAAAGTTTCATAATTGTATTTTTATATGAGATATTTAGCAATCATAGATGTTTAGCGATATAAATTAACGATAAAAATATTATAAAACCAGTAAAACGTTTTTGATTTGAAAAAAAATATTTTGAAAAAATTAATTAGAAAAGAAAAACATGAATGCATCCATTGCATACATGAAGGGCTTGAGGCAGTTACAAGAGAAGACGCACCAGCTGCTGCGAGCCTTGCAGTTATTCGTAAAAGTTTGTAACGTAACTTTGGTCGAAGTGTAATCTTGACACTGCTCGAAGCCCTTCGTAGCATGGGCAAGACATATATAGTCAAAAGGCAATCCACACTTTCTCCAAAATGGAAATATTAACATTTTTGTTTTGCGGAAGTCTTGTAGTTGGTATGACTTGTTTTGATACTACTGCAAGGCCTTCATATCTTTTGACTTATATCCTGAAAATAGGTCTAGAAATGGTGGTGCTACATAAACAGGAAATGAAGTTCTGTTGAGAGATATAATCTAAATACATTAATGCTTGCTTTATTGACTTGTGATTGTAATATGTGGAGCATAAATGTATTAAGAATATAGCAACTCTTTTAGTTCCTTAACCAAATGAATGGTTGTTGTTTATCATTAATCTCAAATCAAAATAAAAACATCAACAATTGGGAATATATTTCTTCTGTATAGGACGTCGCCTCTACAACGCGTTCGGCTGCCACATAGCTCCAATTAATTCATATGCAAGCCAGTATAGCCTAACACAAATTAGTGACAACGGCAATGTCCTGCTGCCTAGAGACTCAATTCTTGGTCCAGCGAAAAACATTACTTTTTGGGCGGATTTAATATTCGTGTTTCATTTTCGTAAATAGGAAATTCAAAATGCGATTAAAATAACTATTGAATATGGTCATGTAATAGAAATCTTTCAGATTCGACAATTTTGAGAGTATAAGAGTCAGTGAAAATTTAAGAATTGTCAATTAAGGCGGCCATCTCCTGTCTTACCAAATATGCATCTGGAATTCCGTAGAAGTTTGTGCAAATTTAAAGAAATCTGTATGACAAGTTTTTGTAGGAGGAGGTTCAAGAGGTTCTATTATTGGCCACGCATTTTGGCCACGCAAAACAGTAAGTTCTATTTTTGGACACGCATTTTATTTGCTATAGAGGAATCAAACTCTGATTAGTTTTGGCAAATTCTGGATTTTGTAATGTAAACAATCTTCACATTGCATTGCAAAGGAATGAATAATCATAAAGTCGTATTAGAACTTTCTAGCAGTAAAGAATTCGGAAAATCATGTTGGCTTTGGATGCGCATAAAGAACTAATATCTTTAGAAATACTTAACAAAGTTCTTAAGAAAAATCGTAAAATATTGAAGCGTTTGGTATGTGATGCCTGCTTCGTGGACAAGAACTAGCATTCAGAGGACTATTCCACGCACGAAATTAAGACCAATAGGGTTTAAGAATGTATACGCTATTAATAATTCAGTATGATTCAGAAAAAAATGCCCATTTTCTTTATCTACTTTAAGTACTACCTCCTCCTCATTGCCTCTCGCGGCGACTATGGTGTAATGGTTAGCGTAACGGGCTAACGTATCGTATTGGGCGTATCGATAGCGTATCGGGCAAGTTTGCGGGTTCAAACCCGATCGACACTGTGGATTTTTAAGGGCGAAAATATCCTTCGTACGCCATCCTTCGGAGGGGAAGTAAATCCGACTGTCCCATGTTAGTAGATTTACTTGCATGTAAAAGACCGTCAAGCCTAAATGACGCCTCTGAGCTACAATCCAAATCGCGTGTTTCGTCGCGCATGAATTACCTCCTTTCTCTGCTAGTAGGTGGAAGGAGCGTAGCGAAATGTGCGTGGTCAGACGGAAGAGCGGCACGCCCGACTCTCGCCGCGTAAAATTAGGCATCAATTCAATAATTCAATTCCTTAGTGCCCAATCATAAGCTGCGATTCGTCGACGATGGAAAGACGTGGGTGAGCTACTCTGGATCATATCCGACTTCAGCCAATGTACTTCAGGCGCCAGCTTGCGTTACAATATTAGCGGGGAATTTATTGCAGCCAAATATCAAAATTACTCGTATATCCTTTTAATTAACATATATTTATGAAGCATTTCTTTTAAACGTTGTGTCTTGTACACCTTCCTTGTGTTATTTTTGTCTGGTCGCCGTTGGAAATTCGCACTTTATGCCATTTTCAAAATGTTTCTCAGCACGTCTCGCTCTCCATGCAGCATGGCGGCCAGCGTCTGGTCTGGCTTTTCAAACGAAGTTCCCGTGCTGTGGTCACGTGGTTCATGACGCAAACTTGTGCTGCGCAGAGCGAGCCAAAATCTGTGCCCCGGAGTAGCCCACCCAAACCTTTCCATCGTGGATTCATCTATCTTAGGAGGCGGTATCGATCCCTTTGGTGATGTGCAATTCAGCGCGATTTTTCATTGCCTCATTCGAACTGTTTTTAAAGAAAGGGAATGGCGGAAAAATTTGTTGATGTGTCAGAGAGAGAAAAATTTCGATATTTATTCGACAAGCTACTCCAGAGAACACGATAAAAAATAGAAAATATGTTTGGAATCACTTTGAATTTTTTTTAAGAACCAAAACTATATATTAGGAAAAAATGCACCAATTCAAGAAATTGCAAACATTTTGAAGGAAATGAAATGAAATAAAACCATATATTTCGTGTTTTCGTTTCGTGCATTTTCTACTTATTCCTATTTGTACAGTAATATTCCTTGCTTGTAGAGAATAAATAAGCAGGTTGTATAAGGTTGTATATACTTGTAACCTAATCTCCTTGATTTTAACATTGCAGACGACCTTGCCTAAGTGAACAGAGAATGGAGGTTGATGCACGTAAAAATTGAAGTAATTGAAAATGTTCAAATATTAGATTAACTGTCATAACGAATATTAAAGAACCGGCTTCTTAAGTTCAAATTTTATTCGTGACATAGTCCTAGTAGTTCGTATAGTAGTCTTAGCTTGGGAAAGTTTTAGATAAACCTCATCGTTTCGCGACTCGGGGATTTATCGACAATTTCCAAAGCACGCGTGGAATTACCTATTATAATAATAATCCTCCACCAATCGAGGTAATTACATTGGGTTACTAAACGTCGTAGCCGAGTACGAAGTCTCAAATCAAAATCTTCCTAGAAAGTTCTTCAATTTTAGATGACTAACTTGTGGTATTAGAAATCTGTATTTTGCATTCGTAAGTGAATTCCTTTTAAATGCAATTCAAAAGGAAAGCGAACAAGCTCTACTTTCTGAACGCTCTGTTGATGAAAGCAGGAATACCGCGCACATGATTGAATAATTATAATTATTTACTACAAGAGTAAAATAAAAGACGGTGGTATTGTGTCTCTTCTGAAATGTGTTAAGACGTGTTATTTTCAACGCGCTTTATTTTATTTGAATGTGATGCTATGACAATATAACATTATTTATGTGACATTATTTTGAAAGGTATTTTGGTTTTCGAAGATCTGCAACGGCACGGAAATGCTGTTTACCCGCTATAATATGACACACCCTGATACGGAAGTCTTAAGCAACATGGGATAAATACGATCATCTGCGTTTTTTGCAAAAAAATGGAATGTAGGTTAGAAAATATATTATGGATATATTTACTACAATATATTTATATCATATAGCATTTCAAAAAAAAATTATCATTATTTTTTTTATGATTTTTGTTTCCTTTCGCAATAGACAGACGTCTTTTAGAGTTACCAAAGAATGTTACAGAATCATTAGAGCATTTATTTAGATACATATCTTGCATATTTTTTCACGTAAAATAAGAAAAAAATATTACATCTTCGCGCGGCCCTCATTTACCTTCTCCGCCTTATTATTTCTGTCTCATTCTTTTCAATGTTTGAATCTAAATAATCGTGCATTAGGTTGATGGTAGTCGTAAGTACCTAAATACTTTGGAATTTATGTTCTAATTACTCTCTTCGTTTACTATTACAATTTTTTTATTATTCTGTTCTCTATCAATTACTTTCTCCTTTTGTTCCATTTCTTTGGGTTTTCTCTTCTACTTGAAACAGTTCCTTAGAAATCCATACAGATTTGAAAAATGATCATGTGCTCTAGAGCGGAAGATGACGTTTGGCATAGCTCACTACTGCACAGCAAAAATACCAATTTTCAAAATTATAATATCAAATCTCGATAAAAAAATATGGAAAAGAAGTGAGAATTATTAATAGTATTAACAGCAAACAAATAAAATACAGAATAATATAAAATCCTATAAATATCTTACTTTCGCAAAACTTAATCGAGTGATTAAAAGATTCGTGATATTTTAACCCAATGATGCCAAATACATTGCCTGAGCAGTCTGAAAACGCGACAGGTTTTCAGAGCAAGAATGTGGTATTACCCAACTTTTTTAATTGTGCAGAAACACGTATGCATTCTTCCATTTGAAAGAACTGATTCACATATCTGTGGAGTCAGCACTACCATTTGAAGAAGAAACAAGGAAACAGTTGAAGGAATGTAGTCAGTTCTTTCTTCATCATTGATTTATTTCTCTGTATACAATCTTGAGAGGAATTTATTGAAAAACCTGTTCCGTTGCACTTTTGCTTTTGCTACGTTTCCTCCCTATTCGAATTTCATTGTTCTTTGCTCCTTATTTCTCAATCCTAACAGTGGTGAACAATTTATGACTGAAGGTTGGTTTACCAGTTACAGACTTTCTCTTTCCATAGTTTCAAACTAGTTTTC